GCTTTGCGTTTGTTGACCTTCTTCTGGAATTCTTTCTTCTGATCAAGGGCTGTTGTCCTCTCAGTCATCTGCAAGAAAATCCTCAAAAAGAGAATAAGCACCAAGTAGATATCGCTGACACAAGTTCAAGAGATCAAACAAGAACAAAGCCTTCTCAAAACTAATAGCTCAATGGATTCTAAGGTTCAGATTGATCAAGAACTAGTCATAACAGTTTCTATACACAGAGAAAAGCAAGCGACTCAGCCGAGAAACCATTTCACCATTGAAGCCGATTTAAGGCACAATTTCTCATGAACTTTAAAAAACTCAAGAACTGGCGACTTTCAATGCAAGAACCGGTTTTTCATGTGTTGTCTATCCTGATGGAATTTCTAAAATTGTTCCCAAAGTTTTTAGTAACCTAAAAGAATCGATTCCACATTTTACAAATAAGGAAGCTCGCAAACGATACTGGAAAAAGATGAGTTCTTTTAGTTCAAAATACCTTTGGGGACACAAGATTCAAGCTCAGTGAGCTGCGTATGCAGGATAGACAACACTCTAATGAGCTTAGAGCACTTTAAATCGCGTGAGATGAGTAAGAAATGAGAGAGATATGCTCGTGTAAATGCAGAGAAAGGGAGAAGAAGAGCAAACTCTGCTTTTGGCTCGGTATGGAGGCAGGTATGGGTTGGAGTCTCTTTTCCAGCTGGCGTTTGGACTGTTGTGGGACTGGTCCCCCCTTCTTCAAGCGTTTAAACTCGTTTTGCCGCGCAAAGCATTTAAAATGACCATGGTGTGGATAAGGCAAGGGTCGTATAAACCTTGAGTCATTTTTATGGGTTCGACACAAGCGGCCTTGGTATGTTCCACTCCGAGGGCACCAGACCAAGGGCTTATAGCTCATGCTAACACAGAAATTTTCTTGTCCCTCAAGCCTTTTCTATTGACCGCTAAACCTTCTTCTTTGACTTAAGTGTCCCAAGTGTTCTGTTTTTGCTTATACTTGTTACCAGGCACCTCGGCATGCTCCACCACAAGGGCATCACACCGAGGGGACCTGTTTCTGGGTGGAACACTTAGTGCATGGGGGTTTAAGCATCTCGGCCTCAGGTCGAGGTTTTGACATGTTATCTCGGACTTTTGAGCCTCGGTGTGTCTATACCGAGGTGTCTACACCGGGGGCCTTCCCCCACACTTAGTCTTTTTGCTCATTGCTTCTTCTTCTCACACGGCCCCTGTGTTTTTAAGGTGAGGAGTTTTGGCCGAGGTTCTGAGATATTCACACGGTAAAACGCACCTTGGCTTGAGAACGCCAAGGGTTTACACCGAGGCCATAAAAACTCTTGCCTTAAAACACAAGGCTGTGGCTTTTAAATGCTTTCTTGCACCTGTTCCTTCAAGATACACACCTAGAAAATTGCTTAGACCTGAAATCACTTAACAAACCTTCAAGGAGCTCCATATAAACATGAAAAGAAAGTTCAAAAAGAAATATATACAAGGATAAGCTTGGGGTGTCGCCTAAGAGCGCTTTGGTTAACGTCAGTACGTTTGAGTTTTCATACCTTCTAAGCATTTTGGGGCTCAAGAAGAGGAACTGACGTAGCTCCCTCTTTGATCTCTGATACCAGGTAGTATTTCACCCTTTGGCCGTTCACAACAAAGCCATGTCCATCTTTTCCCTCTAAGACAACAGCTCAATATGGTCTCACTTCAAGAACTCTAAACGGTCCAGACCACCTAGACTTGAGTTTTCCAGGGAACAACTTGAGTATAGAATTGAATAACAGCACTTGGTCCCCTTCTTTGAACTCTCTCTTGTGTATCTTCTTGTCATGAAGCGCCTTGGTCTTCTCTTTGTAGATTTTAGAGCTCTCAAAAGCATCTAACCGAATCTCCTCAAGTTCATGAAGCTGTAGAACCCTTTTTTCTGGAGCGGTCTTGATGTCAAAGTTCGGTAACTTCACTGTCCACAAGGCTTTGTACTCCAACTCAACCGATAGGTGACAGCTCTTCCCATACAAGAGGTTAAAGGTGAGATTCCTATGGGGGTCTTGTAAGCGGTTCTGTAAGTCCAAATAGCATCATCAAGTTTCTTGCTCCAGTCTTTTCTTGAGTTGTTCACAGTCCTCTCTAGGATCGCCTTGATTTGCCTGTTTGAAACCTCGACTTGGCCACTGGTCTGAGGGTGGTAGGGAATCGCCACCTTGTGCTTGACACCATGCTTCTTTAACAAGCCCTCAAGTGTCTTGTTAATAAAGTGGCTGCCGCTATCGCTTATAACTATCTTTGGCACACCAAACCGTGGGAAGATGATGCTTTTAAAAAGCTTACAAACCACCTTTGAATCGTTTGTGGGGCTTGAAATCGCCTCAACCCATTTAGATACATAGTCTACGGCCACCAAAATGTATTGGTTACCGTGTGAAGAGATAAACGCCCCCATGAAGTCTATTCCCCAACAGTCGAAGAGCTCCACCTCAAAGATTGGATTCAGAGGCATCTCACTTCTCTTAGAGATATTCCCATGCTTTTGACACGATTCACAGCTTGTGACAACAGCTTAGGCATCTTTAAACATCGTCGGCCACCAAAAACCACATTGTAAAATCTTGGCAACCGTCTTGAAAGCCCCCAAGTGCCCACCATAAGCAGAACCATGGCATTCTTGTAACACAGGCTGTACTTCTTCTTCAGCTAAGCACCTTCTATAAAGATGGTCTTTGTTGAGCACATATAGATATGGCTCATCCCAATGATATCTACTAATATCTTTAAAGAACTTTTTCCTCTGATATGAATCCAATTCAGGTGGCCCCTAAACCGCATGAGAGGTAGTTAACAAGATCAGCAAACCATGGGAGGCTCCTCTCTCTGATTGTATTGGCCTCTTCAACCTCGAAGTAAGTTTTGATCACCATTAGATTCTCCTCAGGTAAAGAATCATCTAGAGGCATATTTAAGTCCACTATTAACCGTGAGAGATGGTCGGCAGCTCCATTCTCAATGCCTTTCTTATCTTGCACCTCCATGTCAAATTCTTGTAATAAAAGAACTCACCTTAGAAGCCTCGGCTTAGCATCCTTTCTAGTCATTAGGTACCTTAAAGCCGCATGATCTGTGTACACAACAACCTTTGAACCCACAAGGTAACTTCTGAACTTATCAAATGAAAACACAATGGCCAGCATCTCTTTTTCAGTTGTTGCGTATTTCTCTTGAGCCGAGTCTAAGGTACGGCTTGCGTAGTAGATCACGTGCAACTTCTTATCCTTTTTCTGCCCCAAGACTGCTCCTACTGTGTAATCAGATGCATCTGTCATCACCTCAAAGGGCAAAGACCAATCGGGAGCCTGAACAATTGGTGCACTAACAAGGGCCTCTTGATCTTTAGAAATGCTTCCATGCACTCCTCATCAAAAATAAACTCAACCTTTTTGCAAAGCAACCTTGTTAGTGGCCGAGCTATCTTAGAAAAGTCTTTAATAAACCTTCTATAGAAGCCGGTGTGCCCCAAGAAGCTTCTTATCCCTTTAACCGAGCTCGGCGTCTCCAAATTCACCATGACCTCTACCTTGATCTTGTCGAACTCTATGCCCTTCTCAGAGACCTTATGACCGAGCACAATGCCCTCCTGTACCATTAAATGGCACTTCTCCCAGTTCAAGACCAGCTTGTGCTCCTCACACCTTTTCAAGACCTGTGACAAATTAGCAAGACAATCCGAAAAGGAGGAGCCATAGACAGAAAAGTCGTCCATAAAAACCTCCATCTTTTCTTCAATGAGGTCAGAAAATATGTGCATCATGCACCTTTGAAAGGTCGCAGGAGCATTACATAGGCCAAAAGGCATGCGTCTATATGCATATGTGCCGTAAGGGCATGTGAATGTATTTTTCTCTTGGTCTCGGGGATCTATGGGTATTTGAAAGAAACCCGAGTACCCATAAAGAAAACAGAAGTAGAGATGGTTAGCTAATCTCTCAAGAATCTGATCTATAAATGGCAATGGGAAGTGATCCTTTCTAGATGCTGAATTAAGCTTTCTGTAATCAATACACATGCGATGACCGATTATGGTTCTTGTAGCTATTAACTCATCCCTCTCATTCTTTACCACTGTGATACCACCTTTCTTGGGCACCACATGGACAGGAGATACCCATCTTGAGTCAGAGATTGAGTATATTATCCCTGCCTCAAGAATCTTGGGTATCTCCTTCTTAACCACCTCTTTAAGGTTCGGGTTAAGACGTCTTTGATGCTCAATAGAAGACATAGATTAGTCTTCTAGGTGGATCCTGTGGGTGCAAATTTCAGGAGAGATGCCTCTAATATCGCCCAAAGAATAACCAATAGCTCTCCTTAACTTTCTAAGCTCACTAAGCAATGCATGTTCTTCACGAGCTAACAGATTATCGTTGATGATTACGGGATATGAAGAGTTTGAGCCAAGAAAAGCATACCTCAGCCCTGTTGGTAGAGGCTTGAGCTCAACAGGGGGTGCCTTTGTCTCGTCCCAATCAGCATCAAAGTTGCATTTGCTCTTTGACAGCTCCCTCGGCTTTGATTATATTCTCTCGCGATCTACCACTGCCCTCGGCTTGTGATGCTGCGGCCATGCAACCCCGAGGTGTCTCCCCTCTTGTATTGGACCATATGATGTTCAAAACCTCGAGACTACTCTGCCTGAGCTCCAAAAATCTCGTCTCAGCTTCAAGTTCCTTCGGCTGATCCAAGAATCGCTTGTAGACCTTGCTCTCTTCATTTAAGAACCCGTGCTCACTTTGTTCTCTTGTTAAGACCACTTGTAAAGGGTCTTCTGTTTTCAGTTCTTCAAGGAGCTCATCAGCAAGCTCCTCCATGGTTTCGATGTAAAAGACCTGACCTCCAATGGTCAGTTGTTTCATCATTTCCTTCACATCGAACTTCATGGTTTCAGACCCAATGTGTAGCTCGATCATGCCTCCTCTGACGTCTATGATCGCTCCTGCTGTTGCAAAAAAGGGTCTCCCCTAGATGATGGGATCAATCGGCTCTTCATCCATCTCTAAGACTATAAAGTCTGTGTGGATCTCAATCTCACCAATTCTCAAGGGCAAGTCTTCAAGCAAACCTATTGGTACTCTTACTGATCGATCCGCAAGAACAAGAGAGATTTTTGCCGCTTTGTAGCTCTTGAACCCAAGTCTTTTAGTAACTGAATAAGGCATTAAGCTCACAGAAGCTCCCAAGTCACATGAACAGCTTGAAAACTTCAATGGACCGATTGCACATGGTAAAGTAAAGCTACCAGGGTCTGATAACTTTCTTGGCACTGATCTCCTCTGAATAATGGCACTGCACTCATGACTCAAGATGACCATCCCTTGAAGCACCTTTGTCTTGTTAAGTATCGCGTCCTTTAGAAACTTTCCAAGCTGAGGTATAGCTAGAAAAGTATCTATGATCGGCAATGTCATCTGAGTATTCTCTAAGTTCTTTTCAAATACTGCCTTTGCCCTGTCTAAGATTTGTTTCTTCTTGAATCGCTCTGGAAAAGGTATCTTAGGCTGATAAGAACGTGGTGGAACATATGGCTTTTCAAGTTCAGGTTCCTTCTCCACCTCTTTAGCCTTGTCTTTAACCAGTTCTTTCTCTAAAACCTCATCCTCTTGCTCATCTCTTGAGGCTGCCTCCCCACCGATCTGCTCATTGTCCTCAATGAGCTTTTGCTAAGGCTCAGGAGATTGTAGCTCTATTCCACTCCTCAATGTGATGGCATTGACATATTCTTTGGGATTTGGTTCCAGTTTTCCAGGTAAAGCTTATCCTCTTGATGATGTGGAAGCTTGATTATGCTTAAGCTCCCTGATATCTTGTTGCATGGACGCATATTGACTCTCAACCCTTTGTTGACCCTGTAGCAATTTCTGTAGAAGCCCACACATATCTGGTCCCATCTGACTCTGAACCGGCGCCTGCTGCTGTTGTTGCTGACCCATCGACTGTGGACTGAACCCTGGTGGAAACTTATGTTGCTGCGGTTGGCTGTTGTAGTTACTGCCCTGAGCCGGTTGCTGCTGCTGTCCATAGCTCTGTTGTTGCCCACTAAACTGCTGCTTGGGCTGAAATGAACCTTGAAACTGAGTCTTAGGAGCATAGCTTTGTTGATTTTGCTGAGCAGGGTACACCTGATCTTGAGGATTTGCAACATTGGGGTTGCGGTATGAGAGGTTCTGATTGGTTCCATAGTTGTTGAACCGCTGATACCTTTGTTGATTTTCAATATAGTTGATCTCTTCTTGTCTGAGACCATCTTCATTCACATTGTCAAAGCTCGGCCCTTGCTCATCAAACTCGCCTACAAAGTGTATAGGCTTTTCTGTAGCCACAAGCACTTTGTCTAGCTTGTTTTGAAGCTCCCTGATATCTTTTTCCATTCTCAGCTCTTTACTAGACACATCTGATCTGTTAGCCTGTCGAAATCTTCACCATAAGTATCATTTGACATTGCAAGATTCTCCACTAGCTTCATTGCGGCATTGATCTCCTTTCCAAGAAAGTTCCCATTAGATGTTGTATCAAGTTGGTTCCTTATCTTTGGAAGGGTGCCTCGGTATAATGTACTAAGAAGAGACGCCTCTGAGAAGCCGTGGTGAGGACACTGATTAGTATATCTCCTGAATCGTCCCCAAGCCTCACTGAATCTTTCATTTGTATGTTTTGTGAAGCTTGAGATCTGATTTCCGAGCTTGGCCATCCTGGAAGTAGAGAAAAACTTTGAGAGAAACGCAAGCTTGCACTGCTCCCAGGTCTGTATTGTTCCCCTTGGAAGGTTCTTCTCCCATTGATTCGCTTTATCTCCTAATCTGAAGGGAAACAATCTCAGTTTAAAGTTGTCCTCTGATACGCCATTGATCTTGGTAAGATCACAAACACGGTCAAACTGATCCAAGTGCTCCAAAGGATCCTCCATTGGCAAATCGTGAAACTTGGAGTTTTGCACCATATTGAGCAAGGAGACTTTAACTTCAAAATTGTTGTTTTTCACAGGTGGTGCTTGGATCCCTGCTCCCTGATGTGCATTAGCTCGGTCAATATCCTCAACAAAAACTGGTGGAGGTTGCCTTTGAGCTTGCAGCTGAGGCTGAGGAACTTGCTGTGCCTGCTGCTCATTGCGGTGGGCTTGCTGCTGGTTTTTCTGAGCCTGCCTTTCATTACGCTGAGCCATGTTTTGATTGAAATAAGCCTGTTGTTAGCCATGTTTTGATTGACATAGGCCTGTTGTTCATTCCTCTCGGCCTGCGCTTGATTTAGATGAGCCTAGTGCTCGGCTTCTTGAGCCTGTTGCTCTATCCTCTCCTGATCAGCCATACCCAACCGATCTTGATTCACAGCCCTCTCTCTTGCTCTTATCTCAAGAAAGTTAATGTTGTTGTTGTAAGGCTGAGGCAGCTCTGTGCTTATAGCGCGAGTTCGCATGTAGCTGATCACTCAAAGACAGAACTTGAAACGATCAGTAATAACAAGAAAAATAAAGGCTTAATCTCAAGAAAAAGCAAAAACTAATGTTATCCACAAGTTGGCAACGGCGCCAATTGATAACTAAGACTTTTGGTCTTGAAGAGGTATCAATCTCCTGTAGTTGTAGTACCAAAGTATCGAATCCAAGCTTGTGGTTAGACACTAGTTTATGATTGCTTTTAACTTAAGTCAAGCGCAATCAAGAGATGGTTTTGATGTCTAGACTACTTAAAGTGCAAGCAAATGAACAAAAATAAGAGATTTAACTAGGCAGAGATGCAAAATAAAAAGACAAATAAACAAGATAGACAAGCGGTTGATGTATGAATGATGAGGCTGAGGTCTTAGACAGGATAAAGGACTCAGGTGCTTCCATGCTAGACTAGCGAGTTAATGAACTAAATGATCAAGCAACTTCATTTAACATGAACTCAAAGACAAGTTAATCCTCTCATGAAGGTATTAAGGTTCTAAACTAATCCTCTTTCATACCAAAATCCCTTTTGAGAAGCATGAATCAGCAAGCATTAAGAATCAGCTCAATAAGTCATTTAAGAGAAGCAAACTATCAATATCATGATGAAAGACTCTTAAACCTCTACTAAACCTGGTTCAGGTATTTCAGCGAACACTTCTCAGGCGTGAAACACCTTAGATCTAGACCACATGTGATGTTCATGGATCCAGCTTAGAGGTCGGTTTAGTAGAGAATGTATGATGCAGATCTAGAACCTAAACTCGCTAATCTAGCATTTCAGCACCCTAATCTACCTATCTAAAACCTCATAATGGAACTACTCACTAATCATGAAGAGCACATTTAATATTTTGCAAGAAGTGATGCTAGACATGATTATAAGCTTTGATGATGATGAAAAGAAACAAAAGAGAATAAGATCTTTACGTCAAAACGACATATCTGATTAAAGAAGCAATTTTTCACAAAAGAGGCAAGTTCTCAAAGATATAACAGGATATGAGATAGGTAGGGTTTTAGTCCCTAAAACTATATATAGTAAAGCTAAGTGATGCGGGTCAGCCCGGAACAAACCCGGTACTGAACCGGTCTTCTGGGGTGCATGGGTCAGGTCTCGGTGTGTGAGAGTCCAATGCCAAGGTGTAGACGTCTAGGGGTGCACGTGAGCAAAGATCAAGATGAAGATCTCATGAAGAACTCACCAAGAACATGCATGAACCCTAGTCTTTGATCCATCTTCACGTGCACTCGTTAGATCAGCTTGTTCTCGATTCTGGGTTCGTGACAAGGGGCCTCGGCATAGACACGCCGAGGGGCTTGGTAGTCAAGGGGTCAAGGGAGATGAGGCCTGACATGCGATGTCGAGGTCTTAAGGCCGAGGTCAAGCTTCAACACTTAGTCATTTTCAGCTTCATTTCTTCAGCATGCATGCCACAGACTTGATACACTGAGGGTTTAGCACGAGATCTGGACCAAAAATCTTCAAGGAATAGGCCTCGGCTTAGGCAATGTCGAGGAAACGACACCGAGGCCTGTATAAACACTTAGCACGTATTGCAGCTCTTGAAGCTTGTACCGACTCGCTTGTCTCCCGGTTGCAATAACTTTCCGCACATGACTCCAAACGACTTGAAACCAACTCCACGATAAATATTACTCATTCAGCTAAAACTTTGGTGAAGAAACCATCGGAGCTTGCGAAGTGGAAGGCTCCCTGGATTGCTCATCTTTGCATTGCATTGGAACGGTAAGAAAACAGCTCCTGGACCCGTATTCACTCCGGAGACGATATCATTCAGGTCAAAGCTCCAAATCGGGTGATCTTAAGTGTTCTGGAAAGAAACTCAAATACCTTGAATATTAATGAAGGCCCTGACAGCTGAATCGAACTGGAAAGGCATCGTCCCACGTAATCTTTTAAGCTCATCGGATCGGCTTAGAATGCATGCGAGACAAGTGTGTCTCCTGGTGGAGATATCTCTCTGCTCACTGCTCTAAATATCCTGATTCCAAATTTTCTGGAATCTTGACTCGACCAACTCCAACTTTGATGAAGATCCCATTAACTGATTCGGACCAGAAGCTACCCCGGATTCGCAATCTTTGAAGCGCACAGATGCAAACAGGTTTTAGCCGAGGAATGCTTCCCGCGGTAAGGAAAATATCCGAGAATCGTAAACCGCGGTAAGCTTTTTAGCCAATAAAAATCTCCTGTCTCGGCATAAAACTTCACCCAACAGCATTCTCACCTGATACTGATTTTTGGCCGATGGAAATCACTTGATAGCATTTTTAGCCGATAAAACTGATCCAGCCGGTACATGCTTTCGCCGAGAAATTCCTTTTTGCCGTTTTAACCATTTTTAACTCTTTTCCTCACCGTATCAACTCTTGATCACACCTCTTCAACTCCAAAGAACCTCCAAAACACCTGATAAAGACTCTAAACCATGCAAAACTCTTTGGGACCTAATGCAAACCCTAACATCTAAATTAATGCCTAAAGACCAAAAATGTAAGAGAAAAGACATGATTTGTACTCTAAAATGCGACCTAAATGATGTAAATTATAGACCTATCACTAAGTTTCCTGAAAAGAGCCTTGAAACTACAAATACGTGGAAATCATAATAAAAGTTCCTGAAACTGATTAAAACCTTTGAAAAAGCATTTGAAATCAATGGTGAAAATAGGTACAAATCGGTGTTATCAGTTAGCCCGGATCTGAGTGAGACTCAAGAAGCAATCAACGTTCAGGACGGCTGGGACAGCCGAGACAGGATTTGTGTTGCCGTTGGTGTTTTCCATTGAACCAGTTAGAAAGAAGGGAGAGAGAACTAGAAGAGAGAGAAGAGAATTGCAGACAAGAAAAGAAAAATCGCAGAGTATAGAGAGAAGAAGAGTGAGATGAGAAATTGAGAAGAATTTGAGAAGAGCGGCTGAGAAATTTTAGGTTTAGAGCTTTTGCTCTGATACCATGTTTGATTAGGTAATTCCAATCGATGGATTGGTTTCATTGTATTCATGAGAATATAAAGGAGGATATGTACAAAAGAGCCGTTAAGGACTAATAACTTAGTTTCCTAAAATACATAGAGGAATATATGCATTCCTATTCTAATATACTTATGCTAGCAAACTCAATGAAAGTCTAATCCGAAGGCATATAGATAACATAATGTAAATTTATCCATTTTCATGTATTAATCCATTCATAATTACTAGGCTAATCAATTTCCTACTAGTAATCTATTGATTAATAATTCTTAACAATCAGTAAAAGCTACAAATTATCTTAAGCAAAAACTCTTATTGGCACATTAAAATTCATTAATTATCTTAAGCAAATTATCGACTTGAGTTAATATATTTCATCAAACACTTTTAATGAATGAATTTTTTCGTAGAGGTAGATTGTGTTTGGCAAGATCAAACCTAGTATTGATGCACACTCTGATTTGGATGTGAAAAACAAACTTAGACCTCGTTGACATTTTTTTTTCCCATTGACAAACTCTTAATCAATATAATCTACCCAGCCCGAAGCCGATAACAAAACTACTCACACATAAAGAAAGTAAATCCAAAATTAAGAAACGCGATTAGAGAAGACATGAAAACTAAAAGAAAGTGAAGCTTGAAAAATGGCAATGATGTCTTCAAGATCTAAGAACAATCATATCAAAGAACCAAAATGAATATTGCTAAGAGTATACATGACATAAAATTACGTTTACATTTATTTGTACTAGAAAGTAGGTGATATCACTATTACAAAAGGTGTTTATTGCAACAAATAATTTTGTGGCAAATACCTAAAATTTGTGCCAATATAGACATTCACCACAAATTATCAAAAAAAATATTTTGTGACTATAAGGTCGTACAAATAAAATTCTATAGCACATAACAATATTCTCGTAAATTAATCACGAGGTATCCAGAAATAAATTCTGGCATATTTGCCACAAATTAATACAAAACAATTGTGGCAGGTTGTGACAAATTAGCACAACAGTATTTCTACCAATTTGAAAATAATCACCACAAAAAAAAAATTATATGTGACTAATCAGTGGTTTTTCAGAAAAAGTTATTAACAACAATAATGTTTTGTTTTTTAATCTTATCACTGCATTACAAAAGCCCATCAAAGTGGGTTATAAAATGTTTCGGAGCCCGGCTGGAATCAGAATTATGATGCCAAAATTTTGGGGGCTTGAAGGTAGAATAACTAGTTGTATAAACGACGA